GAGGGGGGGCTGGACGCTCACTGTGGGGGGCCTGGATGCTCTCTGTGGGGGGCCTGGATGCTCTCTGTGGGAGGGCCTGGCTGCTCTCTGTGGGGGGCCTGGCTGTTCACTAACCCCTCACTGATGGTGTTATAATGAACGCACTGCAGACACAAAGAAGTATTAAATATCAACTAGAGATGACCCTGAAATATTAAACATGTTTTTGTTTTCAGAAGCGTGTGTGTTTGGGGGCGGAGTCTGAGTGTCCAATGGAAACGTCGCTCACCTTCACAGCGTCCAATCAGCAGCCAGAGCAGCAGGTGAGTCTTATTGAATAAATCATTATAATGTTATATATCCAGATGAATTATGTTCCGTTTCCTCCTCAGGTGTGTGTAGTTCAGTCCAGGTCTGCTCTCTGCTGCCCCCGCTGCCTCGCAGGAGAACCGGTCAGATTACACATCATCATCATCGTCATCATCATCATCACCTTGTTCTCCGCAGGTGACTCAGGCTCTGACTCTACCTGTGTTCCTGTTTCAGGGTCACATCAAACACATCCTGGGTCTGTGACGAGCCAACAGGAAGTCCCCTCCTCCCTCCCACAGCCGTCCAATCAGAATCCCCTCCTGCTGGATGATGTCATCTGGCCCCCTGGAAGGACCAATCAGCTGCTTGTGTCCGATGTCTTCGCACGTTTCGTCTGAACGTCACGAGAAGCGGGAACGTTCCAATATTGGGAGTACTGCTCCTTTAATCTCAAGCCCCGCCCCCTCTCCCAGCCAATTACAGAGCTTCCTGCTGCAACCCTGCAGTCTGATTGGCTCTCCTGATCAGCTGTGGAAACTAAAGGTCACTCAAGAGCCTGAAGACCAATGAGAGCAGCAGAGGTGTTTTTATTTTGAAAATCCCCCCGCATGCACTTCCTGTCCTTCTCTGCCCAGGTGGAAGTGAAATCTGATTCCACTTCCTGTTCCTCAGGAGACGCTCGTTAAGGACCCTTAAATATTGATTACTCTAAGAGTTAATACCCGGTGAAACCAGAGCGTTCTGTCAGACAGGAAGCAGATAAAGTCTGGTTTGAATATTATTAATTGTTTAATTGAAGAGTAACCGCTTCCTGTTTGTACATTTATATTTTTATATCCGTTTTATAAATCTGACTGAATGTAAAGCAGTGACCAATCACAGCGCAGCGTTTGTACCACGACTGATTTCAAAATAAAAGTAAAAACTGTTTCCTGTTCAATAAAGAAATAAAACTTTATTCACAAAACACATGAGAAACATTCAATGCAAAGAGATCATTCAGGGATGTCTAGAACAATAAATCACTTAGTCCCGCCCCTCAGCTGTCAATCACGCATCAGGCTTGGCTCTCTTGGCTGCAGGAGGGTCACCTGCACAGGTAAACACAGGTAAGTATATATGAACTGATACATCATGATCTGTTGCTAGGAGACCATCTACCTGTGTCTCCAGGTGTCTTTGTGGGCGGAGCCTCTGGGTGCTGCACCGTGTAGATGATGCCGCTCGCAGTCTTCCTGGTTTCTGACACACACACACACAGTATTACTATTTACAGTAGTATGTACAATTGTGCTAACACTTTTTCCTGGGGGGTATACTACGAAGCCGGTTCAACCTAACCTGGATATGTTTGAGTTAGCCGGTTGGTCTAATCCAAAACATACGCGCTCTCTCTAAACGGTCCTACGACGCGGGTTATCAAGTGGATCGCTCAAGCCAGCCGTGTCCTATCTAGTTAGGTGCGCGTTCACATGAAAGGGGTGGTATCTGGAGCATTCGACCAATCACAAACATGGAGAAGCTACTGACAGCGCAGCGTCATACTTCCTGAATGAAAAGTCAACTATAATATTAGACATATGAAGAAGTTAAACTTTAAACATCCATGACTTAAACACTTGATCCAGGATCAAAGCCACATAGCTGCACCTGCAAGGTGAATACAGCTGGTAACAGAACAAGTGTTTGAATGCGTACATTAACAGGTTTATGATATCACTGCCCCGTCTAAGACACCATCTGACTTTCATTACATTTGACTCGAGTGTTTCCTCAACTTAATGTGTTGCTTCAAATAATCCTTCTGCATACAGTATGTGACACTGTGAGTGTTGCACGGCCAGATACGGCTCAGCTGACTCAGATAAGGAGATATATGATACAT